ATGCTCCATTCTAATCAAAGAATGATTCCTTCAGGGTTTTTATTGGAAATCTAAAAGAAAAAAAAACGACACTTGTTACCTATTTGCGCATGGCCGAGTTAGTGGGCGCTTTCCTTCCCTCCTTAGAGGTTCTGGATTCGAATTCCCGCTCGGTTCTGTAATTTAAGTGGGGGGCCCTGACGGTGGGTTGCTGGGTTGGTCTCCCCCGAGGTATAGGGGCCCCGATTATCCGTGCGGGCACGTCCCCAGGGAATGGTGGCGGATCCTCGATTACAAAAAAAAAAAAAAACGACACTTGTTTAATTGGATGAGCAAGATATCTACCTCTAAAAGCACTTGTTTAGGCAAGTATAAGATCGAATATAATGACTTTTCTTTAAAAAATGATCGGCCCTTGGCAAACCAAGCTAGGGGTTGAGGTCGGAAAATCGTGGCTAAATATCCTTTATCATATCAAGCATATTATTTAGGATATGTTTAATTTTCTTCATAAAAAAATTTAGACTAGACAAGCCTGGTTGGGCGGGCTGGGACTCAAAAGAAAATGGAAAAATTATTAGGTACCTTGGGCATATGCTAGCCCGTTTTGCAAGAACCATTAGGTCATGTGGGACCCACGTAGGACCCACATGATCTAATGACTCGTGTAGAGTGGGCTAATGTATGTCGAGAGTACCAAAAGGATAATGAAGAAAATAGTTTGTCCAAGTCTGCCCGATCTGTACGTTAGGGATGTAATAGATCTAGGTCATGATTAACTTTATTTTCTGCTTAATACATCGCATTGTGTTATGTATTATTATTAAGGTGAAACGGCTTGACACATACCTCTAGAATGCAGATGATAATGGAATTAAGGATTAAGTGCACTAGAAGTCCTATAAACTTATCAAGTTTGTGCAATTAAGTCCCTTTGTTAGCTTCGTTCAATTTGACTTACGGAAAAATGTTGACGTGACATTTTTTTTTATTAATTTGCCTCTTCTACGTGGCATTTTGTTGCGAAGGTCAAGAGAGAAGTGCAAGTGTTGATAATATTTCCTGTTATAACATATACCATCCTTACAATTTTTAGTGATGTGAATGTAGGCAGTTTTAGGAATCCACAGTTCTCTGTTTTGATGTGAATCTATGCAGTCCTGTTTGAATAAAATCAATGAAGCTTTGAGAGGAATTCACTTTCGAGACTAGATTTAACGGGGAAGAGGTGTGCATTTGGTTTGATTATTCAGGGGTGAACTACTGGTGGATTTCGGAACAATCTGCATAGATATTGTATCACATATTAGCATGATCTGCATAAATTTTTCGCAGGTTATCAGCAGGTGAAAATCATTCGTATAAAAGTCGATCCTGCACATTGGGGCCCATGGATCACAAAAGACTTGCTGATTTGAAGGTATAGAGAACTGATACTTTACTCCTAGAATCATCGTTCACATTCAACAGATTCCTGAATTCAATGTGCATAGTGCAAACCAGCTGAGTCATAGCTTGAAGCCTTGTTAAGGCCAAGAGCAAACCACTCAACACATAGCACCGAGCTTCACTTCCCAAAATCATCTTTTTTCTCGGTGGGTTTCAACTGATGAGCAGAGCTGATGGCGCAAAACATTAAAATACAAATGAATGCAGACACGGGCGATTATTAAGAAAAGATAAATCTACTTAACAAATACTAATCACACCATCTCACAGTTATCTCCGAAAGTTCTAATCACCAAAAACAAAAACAAAAGAAACAGAGAAATGAACGAACTGACAAATTTCCTACTTAAGTTGCAGTAAAATTTGACAATGAAAAGAACTCACTGACTAACAATCCAGAGTTCCAGCAGCTACAGATCCATGACTCCACCGAGTACATTTTGTTAACTTCATAATAAGAAAAAAACAATATAAGAGCACTAAAGATGTGTTTGTTTGAGTGAAAGAATTTTCTGCGAATTAGTTTTTTGGACTTTAATGCGTTTGGTTTGCTGAAAATGATTAGTTAATGGAAAACCATTTGTGGTAGACAAAATGCATTCTTAAACTTAGGAAAATGAATTCCCTAACTTGAAATGGGGAAAACATTTTTCTGTAAAAGGATTTCCCGGAAAACAATTTTCTTTGTCACGAAATTTTCCTCGAAACCAAACACATCCTAAAATATTATTATAGAGAGGCAAACTGAATGCCCGCAGCTTGAAATACTTCACTAGTCTCAACAACACATGAGAATAACGGATGCACACAGCAAACTGGATTCACATTCATCAGGTGTAGTGTTGCTAAAACCTACCATGTTCACCTTCATGCTTGGTAATAAAACTAGCAGTGATCCGTCTCAGTTGTCAGGCATTGTCAAATTTCTTTTCCATCTTCAGCAATCAAAGTCACCAGTACTAAGATTTTGAGCACTTAATCTTCAGTGTTAACAAACAGAGCCTACTTCATGTCTGCCGTTATCATGACTTTGCGCAGCCTGTTCTATCCCCTTATTGCAAATCACAGTGAAAATGATCCAGTGTTCTTACTGTGGTCTTCTGGAATCAACTTATCAAACTTTATTTTGTCTCATTTTCTGGATTGTTCTGTTATACTGCTGGATTAATTTATTAAATTTTCGAGATTTAAAATGCTTTTCTTGAAAGAAGCTGTATTGAACTTACTGAGTATGGCAAATGTATGGTGGGTGATCAGACATCTTTGTCCTCGTAGGTTGTCGACACAGACTGGGGCAATTTCTAGTCGTCACACCTTCCACTGACAGTTTATGATCAAACCCTGGATGACGAGAATTTGAATCCGGGAGAGAAGGTCGCTTCACTTCTTTTTTCTATCTCATGTGCCTCATGAGTATGAGTAACATCATTTTGTTGTTATTGGTAGACTTACGAGAAGCTGATTTCGGGCATGTACCTCAGAGAAATAGTCTGGATAGCTTTGCTGAAACTGGCCGAGGAGTCAGCATTTTTTGGTGATATCGTTCCAATGAAGCTGAAAATTCCTTTCATACTAAGGTACAGTTATAAATTTAATCCTCGCTGCTTCTACATATGAACACGAGATGGTACGGTTTCCATAAACTTCTGTCCCGAATTTGCAGGACTCCTGACATGTCTGCCATGCATGGCGTCTTCTGACCTTACAGTCGCAGGGAAACAATTATGGGATATCTTGGAGTTATCAGCCCATCTGCAGCTTAATATTATACCCGTGGTGTCTCTAATGGTATGGCTTTTTCACTTCCGTTCTGTCTAGTACTAATGAAAAAGTAATCTCTTATTGATTCAGTCGTGAAGTAAATTCTACTTTTACAGCGCGGATTGATTGTGACGACTGGATATTCAGGAAGGTAAAATACAAATCTAATAGCCCATGTTTCTGGAACAATGAAAGACACTTCTTTTTTCTCTTTTCCACAATTATCCACAGCTGAAGCCACAAATGCGTATTTTACGCTTCACTTTCCTAAATTCAGTTCCCCACTTTAGGAATTGCTGAGTCCCACTATATATAATGATGATTTGTCCATCCTCAGAAACCCGACATCTCCTTGAGAATGAGCAAAGTTGTAGTTGATCTATGCGACATAGTCACCACACGAGGTGCTCGTCTTGCTGCTGCCGGGATATTCTACATGATGAAGAAACCGGGAAGAGATACCGAGGAAGAAGAGATGGATCGTTTTCCAAATTTTGTATGCTTTCCCACCCTTTTCTCAGGATATCATTTGGGTCTCTTTGAGGTCTCGTTGTATCATACTTCGAGGTGGGAGGCCAGTAATAGTCTTTTTTTTTTGGTCGAAGGGGGCCAGTAATAGTCTAGCGAGCAAAAAATCGAGTAACTTTTAGCCTAGATAGCTCAAGTGTCCGAGGAAGAAGAGATGCAAATTTTATTAAGTCGTGAATAAATGAAGGATCAGGCTCACATTAGGACTCTTTAGAAGAAAGCTCCTGTAAAACCATTTATTACTCCCGGTAAAGCGGGAACCATTTTAGCTAGAACCTATGTAGCACCGACACGCGACACGATATACCGACACGTCATTCCTCAAAAAGTAGAGAATTCCGACACGTTGGGACACGCTGTATATTAAATATATATTTTTATATATACATGATAAATTATTATTTTTACGATTATTTCAATCAAATTAATTTAATTCAAATCTATAAATAAATAAATAAAATAATTTAATTTAATTTAATTTGATAAATTATTCATGACATATTTAATTATGCCATATGATATAGTAAAGTTCCTTTGGTCATGTATATTTTGCTCTTGACCAATTTTCGTTTTTTTCCCCACGAAAGATTACAAATATAAGCCTAAACGCAGTCGTCTCATTACCCAACATCTCCTTTCACTCTCTCTCTCTCTTAGAGTCGGACGAAACCGTACCCCTCCCCCGATACCGACCGAGCTCCCTCTCCTCTTCCATGGCCGCTCCTCTCCCTCACTTCGCGACCTGCCCTTCCTCCTCTCTCTCTCCTCATAGGCTCTTTTCCCCCTACCGCCGCCGCCGCCGCCGCCTCCTCCAATGTCGCCGGGAGCTTCGCTTCCTCTCTCGGGACTGCTCTCCTCGTCGGCGCTCCACCGTCTGCGTCGCTTCCGTCAGGGAGTCCAGGTTCGTCTCGCCCGATTCTCTTCGGTCGCTTTTCTTTCTTCTCTCTCCCTATTGCTTTTTCCGGACTCGCGTGTCGCCGGCGTGTCCGGCGCGTTGACCGCGTTTCATAAGTTGGACAAAGGTTGCTGTATACAGCGTGGCGCACGCGTGAGATGAAGTTGTACTATTCTTAAAACTCGATCGTATCAAGAAAACGGGTCTCATTTCTTCGTTCCGCTTGTGTCAGCATCATATAATAGCGATTCTAAAAACTGTCTTGAGTTAAGGAATTGCCAACTTTACTGAGATGCGAATGTGGCAGAAGATCAGACATTCAACGGTGATATTCATCGTACAGCAACACCTTTCGTTGCTGACATGACTATCTTCTTTGAAGTCTAAGTAGCATAAGTGCTCTTCGATCTTTTATTGCCTCGATATATTGAGGTTTGCTCAACACCCTCTGCACAAAGTGCCCATCCTTATTCTCTATCTATCTAGCACAAATTGACATATCCATCTCTCTTCTATTCTGTATATTCTATAGTATACATTCGGAAACTAGTCTTAGGTATGGATCACTAATACACAGTCAGACAAATCGTTTGACGCTTGTCTTTCCGTAGGATAAGATGAGGAAGTTTCACAGAAGTTGGGAGTCCACAGCCCTTCACTCTTCGACTGTTTTAGTGCTAACAGTCAATAAGTGTTGCACTCAAGAACATGAAAATCGCTGTGCGGCATTTCCTTGTATTCAGAATTTCCAAGGAGTGGGACAACGTCAAACTTGTGATGGGATTTCTTCTCGACATTGTAAAGCGGATCGCTACATTTGAGCAGCACTTGCAGTACCTCCTTCATTGTAGGCCTCGTGGAAGGCAGAGTAGCAGTGCAAAAGATCCCGAGCTTAAAGACATTGCTTATTTCATCTACGTACGAGTCATCCTTGATCTCCTCATCTATCGCATCAGATATTGGCTTGCCACCTTGGATGTGACGCCATGCCCAATCAGCGAGGCACATGTCTTCGTCACCGTCGTTAGCCTCCCTCCCGGTGGTCAGTTCCAAGAGAACAACCCCGAAGCTATAAACGTCGATCTTCTCATTAACTCTTGTCGTATGAGCATACTCTGTTGTTCAAAAAAAAAAATGGCAAGACAAATCTAAATATTCCTGCTGGTAGGATATGTAGGATATGAGGAAGGCGAACTGGCATAGCTGAAATGAACTAATGTTAAGTGAATAAACAAACCTGGTGCCAAATAGCCGAAAGAACCAGCAACACCTGTCATCGTAGCAGCTTCTCCATGCTTGGCCAACATCCTTGCAAGGCCAAAGTCAGCGATTTTTGCGTTGAACTCTGAGTCCAAGAGAATGTTGCTCGATTTCACGTCTCGGTGGATGATGGGCGGTGAACAATCATTATGCATATAGCAAAGTCCTTTAGCTGCTCCTAGCGCAATCTGCAACCTTTTGGGCCAATCCAAGATCATATTGTTGGCGACACCCGAGACAGGCGACAATCTTTTCTTCTTGTGAAGCCAATGGTCCAAGCTGCAATTTTCCATGTACTCGTACACTAGGAGTTTCGAGTTCTCGCAAGAAATACAGCACAACAATTTGATAATGTGCAGATGCCTAATGTTCCCAAGTATCTCCACTTCTGCTACGAATTGCTTCTCCAGCTTCTCATCTAATTTTCGGTTATTCGAAATCCTTTTCACAGCGACGGCATCACCAGAAGGATTCACGATAATGCGATATACTTTTCCTGATCCACCACTTCCAATCACATTATGCTCCTTCAATCCCCACAGAATATTCGATTCCGTAAAATTCAACCTTTGGAATGAAGTCAGTTTCGGAGATGAATCGAACCCGTCCCTATTCTTTCTGAAAGCTCTGATCGTGAATAGCACTGCCAACAAAACGAACATTGCCGCTGCAATGGCCAAGATCACGATCAAGGTGAGATTGGTCTTGCTCAATCTACCGGATTGGGAATTGCAGACATTGAGCCTCATGAACGATTTGGATGCACAGAGGCCGGGGTTGTTCAGGAAACCGGCGCCGTATGCGGCAATCTCTAACTTGTCTGGGATTTGTCCGCTGAGGCGATTGGATGATAAATTCAGAAAGTTCAGCTTCAGCTGGCCGATTTCAGGAGGAATCAAGCTGGACAGTTGGTTTTCTGACAGGTCCAACTGCGTGAGTCTTAGAAAACCAATTTCGCTAGGAATCGGGCCCGAGATCTTATTGTGACTAAGATTCAGAGCGGTCAAGGACTTCCACGAAATGATATCTTTGGGAAGATTTCCAGAGAGCTCGTTCTGACCTAGCCAAAGCGTCGTCAGAGAAGGCAGCTCGGTCAATTCACTCGGAACCGTGCCACTGAGGAGGTTATTACTGGCATCAAACACCTGCAAGTTCCTCCACGAAGACACTGTACTCGGAATCTCGCCAAAGAATCTGTTGTTGTTCATCGCGATCCGAGTGAGGTTTGGGGACAGCTGCTTGGGAAGTTCGCCAGTTAATCCATTACGACTCAAGATCAAAGACGTCAAGTACGGCGACATCCAGAGTCCACCAGGCACAGTGCCAGTGAATCCATTGTTGTTCAACATAACGACCAACAAAGTACTGCAATGTCCAAGTGACTCCGGCAACTCCCCGCTGAGATTGTTGTCCATAACCGCCAACCCGGTCAGTGTGCCGCCATGGCACAGTTGTTCCGGCAATGTGCCAGTCAAGTTGTTGTAGGCCACTTCGAACCTTCTGAGTGCAGAAAACTTGCCGAAGTCCGGGGGGATCGTGCCTGATAAATTGTTGTTGGACAGCCTGACATCAGACAAAGCAGGAAGACGCCCAATACCTTCCGGGATTCTACCGGACAATTGATTGAACTCTAAATTCAAGTTGGACAGATTCTTGAGCTTCCCGAAATCTTCAGGTATGTTCCCCGTCAAATTATTAACGGACAGATCGATCTCGCTCAGGTTCATGGCGCTCACTGCCAGAGGGATTGACCCGGACACATTGGTCATGTACACGTACAACTCCCTTAAGTTCCTTAGAGCGAAAATGCTGCCTGGGATCTCTCCGGTCAACAGATTTTTTCCCAAATCCAAATGCTCGAGAGCCTCCATATCACTGACCGTCTCTGGGATTCCACCAAACAGGTTCGTCTGCGGCATCGAGAAGAATCGCAGCTTCTTCAGGGCTGTGAAGTTCTGCGGTAGCTGCGACGGCACGAATTTGGCGTTGTACCCGAGATGCAGTTCTTCGAGATCGGAGAGGCCAAAAATCTCTTCAGGGTAAGTGCCGTTGTACTCGGACTGGTAAAGGTGAAGGATCCTCAGCCTCCGTAGCCTCGCGATCGACGCTGGGATGTCGAATGAGAAGCTGGTGGCGGCAAGGATCAGGACCTGAAGATTAGCCATCCGGTCGATGTCGGATGGAATAGGACCTTCGAAGTAATTCTGGGACAGGTCGAGATACACGAGCTTGGAACAGTTGTAGAGAACTGTTGGAAACTCTCCAGGAATATTGTTGTTGGAGACATTGAGCTTGGTCAGATTCTTGAGGTCACAGATGATTGGGGGGATTGAATAATTTATGTTCAGGAATACAAGATTGAGCTCGGTGATCGAGCCATCTTGGCATGTGATCTCGTGCCATGTACAGTGAGAGGATGAATTCGAGGCGACCCAGTGGGCGAGGGAAGATGGGTCTTGCCAGGATTGCCTCAGCTTCAACAGGACTTGCTGTTCTTGATCTTGGATTTGAGACTCTGCAACATGGGAGAGAAAGCAGAGGAAGACGAGACAGGGGATGTAGAAGAAGAGGAAGAAGAAGTGAATACGAGGAGGTGATGAGGTTAGTCTCGGCATAATTGGGGGTGTTTCAGAGTCTTTTTCTGGTTAGAGAGACTCTCCGGTGTTGGAGCTAGAGATCTATCAGCTCAACATGAAGCGAAACGTGATAGTTTGCTTTTGTTTATTGCTCGGCAGAACCCCAAGGTATTTAACCTCGTTAAAGTGCTAGAATTTGGTGCGTCCTAAGATGACGACGTTTGTGGATGAATTTGTTCCTTTTTGTTCTTTTCCAATTCGCTCCACTAGTGTCCCATCTCAGTCAACACGTGAAAGAGTGAAGAGTCAATAAGCCAATGATTTTCCCCTAATCTTAACATTGCTCTGGAGTACACTTCAGATAGCACCCAGACACCTTCGATTCCTGTGGTTTATTAGAACCAGTAAAAGCTGGCAAAAACTAGATTTGCCAGATCAGTTTAACGCTAGCCTGAAAACGACAAGTTGTTCCTCTGCAGAAGGAAAAAAATGTTGTTGATTTTACATGTTCCCCATCAGCATAAGCAGAGCAAGCAGGGGAGAAGGAAATGCATGTTATGAACTAGGGCAAAGGTGGAAATTTGACAGATTTTTTTTTTGGTCGGAGAAATTTGACAGACTTTAGTAGCTGGCCAATCTTGGCTATGCAATTTCAACTCTCCTCGAACCTTTGATTGGGTTAGCATTATGATTACACGAATCGAGTATCCGTGCGTTCACGCTCTTGGATCGTGACTTATCTCAGCTCATTCCTTTTCATTTCAAGAAGGGAAAATAAAGAGGTTTGGAACAGAAATCCGTTTGGCAATGCAATTTCATTTTTTATTTCCGGGACAAATTTTTTGCCCAGAAATGGGTTTGGAACATAAATGAGAAGTAGATTTTTTTTTTTACTTTTCTATCAAAAATAACAACTCTCTTTATTGCTCGCCCTCATCGCCTGCTGCTGCCCCCCATTGCGACGCCCGTCGCCACCCGCCTTTCGCCTAAACAGAAATTTAAGAATAACTTATCAAACGAATTTATATTTTCGGAACAAAAATTTTGCGTCGTTATCAAACACTATTTTTTGCTCAGAAACTCGTTTAGGGAATATAAATAAATCTAGCCAGAAATAGGGTTAGGGAAGAAAATGATTATCATTCGCGCCTCTGGAGTCAGAGGCAAATTGAAAAGTATAATGGATGAATTTCCATAGTTTCGTCAGACATTCTAATTTCTTAGAACATTTAAGAGAGATTGTGAAAATCCTACACCGAATTCCGCTGAAAGCCCAAATTTCCATATGATCGTTATGTCGTGGTTATGAGTTGACTTTATACAATATTTCCACTATAAATATCGGTCTCCCGTCTTGCCGTAATTGTGATCCATGTGCTTGTCACGTCAACCACCATAGAGATAGGTGTAAATACCTCCACGTGAGCTGGTGAACACGTGATTACACGCACATCACCTTCGAGGAAATTCACGAAAGCAGCTAGAAGCCCTCCAACTTTGAACGTTGACCGGAGACTTTTTGCTTTTTTTAAAGTGAGGTCGTTATCGGCTTTTGCCTTACCCCTTTCTCTGGTGGGGAAGCAAAGACTTGGAAAGTTGCGGCAAAAGCAAGCAAGTTTGTGGAAGACCTTGACTTTTTTGGCCCCTCGCTTCACGCTATGATCTAGATTGGCGGCTAACCACCGTGATTTGTAGTTTGTGCTCTTTCCGGACAATCAACTCATCAGGACGAAATTCTACTTTGGAATTTAAGATAAGCGAGTCGACAATGGAATATATCAAGCTGCACGATATGACATCATCATCAATTATTTGGGTTATAGTATGGCCGAAAATTGACAACTGTCCATTTAACTCGTTGAAGAAAGTTACGTGTAACACGCGAGATCTCATTCATCGGTGGGGTTTCGGTTAGGTATTTGGCACTTTTACTATTTGTTCTTGGCGGAGGAAATTAGAAAATTAAGACAACAACATGTAAGCCGGTCTAACCAAATATAGTTAATCTACTTGCGGTCCCATTATATGATGTAGCAAGATTTTTGATCTCACGTACACTCAACTCAACAAGCAGTAATGACTTAATAATGTCTAACAAAAGACTCTTTTCAGCCAATTTTTAACCGTCTTCTTACATCACCATGACTGACTAAATGATGAGATTCCGAGTTAACACGATAATCTAAATTATCGGAATTTTCACGCTTAAAAAACTTGGGCCGAACATATATCCAATCCGAAACACACGTGCTTCTAGAGAGTGTAGAAAGAGATGATCCCTGGCCCTACAAATGGACACTTTCTAAAAAATAAGGTGGATGATGTGAAACTCGGCCTACTAAAAAGAAACTACTAAGAGAAAAAAAGAGTCGATCATCAAAGCAGAGAGCCGTTTTAATCGAGTTAAACCTAACATCCACTACAGGAGTTACTATGTTTTGGTTATGTTTTTCTCCCTCCCGCCCTTTTCCTTGGGTGCGTCATGATCAGTGGCTTTGCTAAGGATGACATTAGCTAAGGATGACAGTGAGATACTTACAAATATCTAGAAACAGCTTGCTTCTGATTAGGTTTTGCATTGAAATTAATTGACATTGAAGATTCTTAAAAATTGCTTCCTTATGATTATGTCTTGCAGTGAAATTTATATTGAGACGCTGATGTTTTCGGAGGCTTGAACTTCCAATTCCTTCACAGGCTAATACCATTGAAAATCTCAAATCGGTACTTTCATGACACATTGACCCCATACTAATTTTCGTCCCACAAAAATCCTTAAATAGAACCTCCATGACACATTTATTCAAACTAATCTTCGCCTCATGAAAAATTCCAAATCGGTACCGTTGACCCAAATCTACCTTTTGTTAAAATACATACATGTCAACATACGTGGATTTTCCACGTTGGTTCTGTCATTTTCCACGTCGGATCTGTCTTATATTCGTCTGCCACATGGGATCCATCTTACAATCATCTGTGATGTGTATTGACATGTATTTACTATAACGGGATATTGAATAGAATATTCACCGATGGTAGATTTGGGTCAGGGTACTAGTTTAGATTTTTTTTTTGTTTGACGAAAAATTAGTTTAAGGTAAATGTGCCACGGGTTCCAATTTAGGAGTTTTTGTGAAAGGGAATTTAGTTTAAAGTAAATGTCTGGTAAGGTATCAGCTTGGAATTTTTAATGGTATTAACCCTTCCTTCACCAACTCAAGTTAGCTCACTTGCGGAATTAATGCTGAGCAAGACTTTCTAATAAAATCCTATATACAAGGACCTTCTCAGAGCCAAAAGGAACGTTTAGCAAAAAAGAAAAGATAAGATAAAATACACCAAAAATCATAAAATTTATTAAATGAGATGTAGTTGGGCTGCAGAAATTGTTGCATAATGCAATGAAGCTACAAAATTTCTGAAATTTATGTAGTCAAGAGTGTCCATTAAGTCCGTTTGTTCTGAGCGATAGCAACAACCATTTTGTACTCAATTCTGATTTGACTATTATTTTCACTCAAGGAGAAAAAACAAGTCTTTGTTTCTTAGTCTTCATGAAAAAGTAAGTCTTTGTTGCAACCCACCAACGTTTGTGCTTGTAGTTGTTGCAACCAGCTAAAGTTTCTTGCGTTCCCTGAATTGGCAAGACAACAACCTGAATGATTCCGATTGATCCTGTTGGCCAACCTTTGAATCTTCGCCATGCCCTCCTATTCTCCAATGTCACAGCTTTCAATTTGTTTCCTGATGTTCGCCTTCTGGATGATGAGCAAATTGGTCTTTGGTGGAGCTGAGTGCAAGCGCAAATTTTCCATAGCGTGATCCGGCAATGACGGGTCGAGCATTCTAGATGGGTAAGGAAGATAAAACTTGGTTCCATTGAGCCCCACACGATTGAACTGAACCAATCCTCATTGCTAGGAATCTTGCCAGCGCATATTACACAAGTTACCATCATCCATACGCTTAGACATGCTTAGTTAAACATGTAAATGTGTTACCCGTGTCAACATGACACGCTTCAATGCATTTCGAGACGGTAATATTTGACAGATAATGAGCATCTAGTATAAACTAAAGCAGAAAAACCCAGCAAAGATCAAAGGGCGGTTCTACTCACTTACATGCAGTATCAATTAATGCGCTCGTCTTCCAAGCATGCGTAATGGAGCCTCAATAATCACGCTCTTGTATTAGTCAAGATAGTTGGAATTCTACTGTCCAATCGCAGTAAAGTCACAGAGAACACGAGCGTTGAACTACCCATTTCAAACACGGCAGCAACAAATTCATTGCTAAACCTGGGTGATCATTTCGTCTAAGATTACCATTAATCTGACATGATTCCCATAAATAATCCATCTCTGGCTAAAGTTACCAGTGGTATCTGAACTAATTCCAGATTCTAGACTGGATACTGTGTCTCAACTAACAGCAGTTACGTGTCCAACTATCGGTATTCAGCAATTTACTTTAGTTCAGTCGCTAGTGGAGGTTGAAACGGTAAGTAATTCCACTAAGAGAGTGCTTTCTGCACATTAGAATATAAACTCCTATGAGAGTTTGCACTAAAGAACGAGTCTGAAAAAATTGATTTGAGTATTGAAGATTGCATATAGCACGGTCAAATAGAGTCAAAACAAATCATTAACCAGAAAAGATAAGATTCCACTAACTCGTTGATGAGAGAGAGAGAGAGAGAGAGAGAGAGAGAGAGAGAGAGAGAGAGAGAGGATATCATCATAGACTATGGAGAAGATTTTCACAGATCTCAACAACAGACAGAAACAAAGCCTATGGCGTGCTTCAGGCACCTGTGGACACACGAGACAGAGGGACTTTTGTTTACTACTCCTAATGCTTCTGTGGCAAACTTATTTTAACAAACCTGTTACGGATATCAATCCTAGAGATATCAATCCTCCCTGATTGAGAGATATATGTTAGAGATATCAATCCTCCCTGATTGATTCTATTTGATATTATTTTGATATTGTAACATTTTGTTGCTTTAGATAGTTATCTAGAATAGCCTATAAATAGGCTCATGTATCATCAGTATGGGACACACAAAAATATATAGAAATTCTCTTTTCTACTTTATTCTTCACATGGTATCAAAGCCTATATTTTTTTTTTGAGGAAGCGGCCACGGTGT